TCTTCTTCTTCTTCTTCTTCTTCTTCTTCTTCTTCTTCTTCTTCTTCTTCTTCTGGAAATAAAAACGAAGTGGCATCAAGTTTTAGCAGTTAGGAGTTATATTTTGTCATTTTTCAACAATGGACTCAGCATGAGACAGAAGACCATGGAGAATATTGTTTTTCACACAAGACAGCTGACGGCTAGGGGTTGAACGAGTATATAATTTTTAAACTCGACATTAACATAATAAAACCCGAGTAGAACTCAAGTATTTGATGACGTCATAGATCTCAAGATACAAAAATAAATAAATAAATAAAACCGCAAAAAAAGGTAATTATTTACAAAAAAAGACCAACAAAACATTAGGAGCGTATATTATGCTCCTACCATTTATCAGACAGCAAATAAGTCACAGGAAAAACTAAACTATTAGTTTTTATTATTAAACTGCAAACGTGAAGAAACACGCAGCACGTCAGAAACGAAACTTAAACAGAAACTGGTTCTGGTGGATTGGACCCGGTGTTGCACCATACTCTGTGACCTGCAACAGTGCAACACCGCCCCCTACGGTCATACGTGGTCACATAATATGACGTCACTACGGAGACTCGACGTAACATTTTTAACCTCGGTAGATGTCCTAGCAATCGATGTGTAGATTACTCGAGTACTCTGTTAATGCCCTACTGACGGCTCCATATAAGGTCAGAGAAATGTGTGTTTGTTTGTCCTGCGCTGTACTCCACTTCCTGCTTGTGGAGTGGGTCCGGTCTGTTTACATTCACACTGTACTCGAACCACGCTGGAGTTCTCTTCTACCGGACCGAGACCTAGGTTTTAGCCCGGGCCAGAGTTCACCTTTTTGTTCCGTGACAGAGTTCGATGGCGCGTTCACACCTCCCCAAACGATCCGGACTTTCTAGGAAAACGAGCTAGAGTTCGATTAAAGCGGACTAAACAGGGCTGCTGTGAATGCACCCTTAATGTGTGCACGGTCCTCCTCTCATGGTTTAAGTGGTTCTGTGTTTCAGATGACAGCGGCCTCCTGGTTCACTGCATATCAGGATGGGACAGAACCCCTCTGTTCGTCTCCCTCCTCAGGCTCTCCCTCTGGGCTGTAAGTGCTGACCCTTGTCTTCCCTGGTGACTCCACACTCATCCATCCACCCTCCTGTTAGTTCATCCAATAATCCTCCCTTTGTTTATTTATTTACTGCTGCTGCTCCATCCTGTTCTGGGTCTCAGGGACCTCAGGTCTTTCTATCTGTTCCTGAATAAATGTTTTTTCTCCAACTCCTCTCCCATCTGACACACTGAAGATATAGTTAATGGAATGGATGGTGATGGTGGAACCACAGCAGAATGTAAACTAAACAAGAGCAAGACTCCCAACATCAAATAAAATGAGATGTAACACAAGTCTTTTTTTCACAGGATGGAGTTGTGCACACCAGCCTGGAGCCACTTGAGATTTTGTACCTGACAGTGGCTTACGATTGGTTCCTGTTTGGGTAAGACCATCTTGTTGTTTTTGTCTTTAGCTTGGTTTCATAATATCTGAGGCAGGTTTACTGCAGAGCTGCCTGCTCTGTGGAAGACACAACAAATGACTGTTTCATGGATCACCGGAGCACTTTTCTGAACAAGACCACAACCAGCAGGATCTGAGGACCTCAAAGCATTGAATGCTCAGTAGAACTACAACAGTTTTTGCTTTATTTGTATTTTATTATTTGGGAATTATAATGAAACTGTGAATATTTTACTATTGTTGACATTTTAATTATCCCTCATACATTAAGGTATGTTAGCTAAAAAATATTTTTGTGTCATTAACATGGAGGGAAAAAATAAAGGAATATTAAGAAAAAAATAAAAAAATTAAATTGGGCCCTACACAGAGGCAAATGTGGGGAGGGGGGGGGGTTGTTCAGAGGTGATTTAATATAATAATAGAAAATCCAAATTTATGTAACAAGGCCAAACAAAACAAATTTAATGCCATTTGGACCCCAGTGGACTCGTCGGTGTGACAGGCTGCTGAAGTCATGCAGAGTTCTTCTCAGTTCAGTAAAGTTGCTTTGTATTTTTGCAGAATAAATGTTGTTACTGTTGAACCTGCTGACCTTTGATGACTTTGTGTTTTCAGTCACATGCTGCCAGATCGACTCTCCAAAGGAGAAGAGGTAAATCTGTTTGATGCAAATCTTTGGCTCCTAGTATCACACCATTAACCTGGACTTATCCTGGACACCATGCAGCTGTTCATAAGACCCTTAGCAGGATAAATAAATCAAGTGAACTTCAGCTAACTGACTTCTTGTTTCCTTTGCTCTCCTCAGATTTTCTTTTTCTGCTTCAATTTTTTGAAGCACATCGTCTCAGAGAGGTTTTCTGTTATTAAGAAACAGAGGTGGGCCTTTTATACATTTTTATCCCTTCTTTCTTCTTCTTTCTTTCTGTTTTTCTTTCTTTGTCTTTCTTTCTGTGTTGCATGCTGGGAGTGTGTTGACGGTGAGGCTGCATGTGGTGAGTCTGACAGAGAGGAAGAGTTATCTAACAGTTTTTTCTGTTCTTTTCTTTCATGTATTGGCTTTTTATTCCTTATTTGCACTGATTCTGCATCATCTTGGGGTTATTTTGTTTTAAATTTTTAGATTTTCAGCACTCACAGCGCTGTTTGTTTGAGGGGATGGCGTCTTCAGGGACGCCACCCCTCTCGTTGAGGAATGTGGTTCGGATTCAGCCTGATCCGTTAGTCCCAGTTTAGACAGTTCTCTTGGCTGTTGGTGATCTTGTTGGTCCTATTAATTTAATTTATGCATTAAGAATGAATAAGGGTGTGGTGATATTTTTGAAAGAGTGTTTGGTGACTCATCTGATTGTCAGCAAGGTGACAGTAGGTGGAGAGTACCTGCAGGTGTCACCACTTGCGGTGCCCTCCACCCAGGTTATGATTTCAGGTGTACTGCCGTTTGTTCCTAATGACTCGTTGGAGAAAGAGCTCCAGCGTTCTGGGAAGCTCGCCATTGGGTTCAAAACTGTGGGTTTGGGATGTAAGGATGATAAATTAAAACATGTTCAGTCTTTCAGGAGGCAGGTGTTTATGTTTCTAAACTCTACCACACAGACACTAGACGTGTCCTTTAAAGTTAAAAATGGCGAAGGATCATACATGGTTTACACAAGCACAGGAAACGTTGGTTACGTACTGTAACCCCAGATTATATAAGTATAGGCGCAGCCCTTTAAGCTATCGCTTGTGGGTTTATCCCTACACGTGCAGCGCAGCACTGAAAACTTTAGTCCGCGCCCACCTACTGTGTGGGCCTCATCCCCGGTCAGTATAAATTACAGTGAGACTGGGTAATCGGCTCCCAAATAGCTTTTTTCTTCAGCCATTTAGGAACCAGTGAGGCCCAGAGCTTAAAGGGCTGCACCTATACTCATAGAATCTGGGGTTACAGTACGTAACCAACGTTCTATTTCGTATAGGCTTCGCCCTTTAAGAGCTGTTGCTGGTGGGTTAAAGGTGAAGCAGAATGTAGTCAAATATGTCTCACTCAGACACAACATGAAGCACCTGCTTGCACAAAAAAAAATTTCATCACTCAGCCTTCTGTGTGCGTAATTACGCGCTGCGTAATTGCGTGCTCCATGCGCAGGAACGCACCAGAGAAAAGATCTCTGGTGAGGAAAAAGGCTGAGATAGCAGACCTGCTGCTGTGAGAAGGAACAACGGAGTATACGAATTGTAACAGTGTAACGATGAACAGAGCAGACCAACAGCTCCTCAGGATGAACCGATTAATAACAATAAAATCAGCAGTCATGAACTTGTGACTGATAATAAATATCATGCAGGCAGGTGTGAGCTCAAAAGTGAGGCTCCATGAAACAAATAATCATTCTGTCAGAACCCTGAGAACAGAATGGGTCATGGAGAAAGTAGAAACATCACGTAGATAAAAACGAATAATTGAGCATGGCGATGACCAGGCAGCCGCCATATAAATATCCTCCACTGTCATCCCTCCTTGCAGAGCCATGGAGGATGAAAACCCTCTGGTGGAATGTGCTTTGACATTCTCTGGCGGATCCAGCCCAGATGAACTGTAAACTTCAGAAATAGCCTCACACAACCAGTGTGAGAGGCGCTGGGTGGATAGAGGGCATCCTGAAGAGCTGTCCCTGTAATGCACGAACAGACGCTGAGAGCGGCGCAGTGCGGCCGTGCGCACCATGTAACACGAAAGCGCGCGCACAGGACAGAGGAGGTGAGATGTTGCTTCCTCCTCAGAATTATGAGGAAGAGGATAAAACCCATCCAAGGTTATCACTCTCAATCTGAATGAGCTTGTGATGATTTTCAGAGCAGGGTTAAAACGCTGTACAGCTGAACTGCCGTCAGCTTGAATTCTGAGACATGAGAGAGCAACAGAGAGAGCAAACAAACACTCACTCTCTTTGCCGACATCAGAACTAACAGCAGGGCTGTTTTAATGACAGAAATTTAAGTGAAACCTGATCTAAAGGCACAAAAGGAGCTTTGATCAGAGCATGCTGGACCATCATTAGGTCCCACTGTGGAGCTAGTGGATGTGACACAGGTCTGTGTCTCCGTACACCTTTCAGAAAAACGCTTCATCAGTGGGTGGTTAAAAGCTGTTCTGTCACCGAAGCCCTCATGACAGGAAGAAGTAGCTGCAGCATAAGTTTTAATTGTGCTCAACGCTAAAATTCTGTCCATCAGTTGCTGTAGAAATGACAGCACGCCACCTAGTGGACATGAGATGGCCTCCACGCCTTTCTCTGCACACCAGCGCTGAAAAACTGTCCACTTGATGTGTACAGCGCTGTGGTGGAAGCGGCTCGTTTGCCGTTTGCCCTGAATCGTACACACCACATCCTGTGGGAGGCCCATCTTTTCTAAACGGATCTGTTCAGCAGCCAGACCCAAAGATGCTGACCTATTTCTGGGCGACTCCTGATTGCTCTTCCTGCCTGGAGGAGAGCGCCCCCCCCCCCCCCGGCAGTTTCCACGGCTGACCCGATATCATTCGCTCAGGATTTGGCAAACACTGAGCGATTATGTGCTCCGGAGCTATGAGGATGACTGACAGTTCTTTATCCAGGACCCGGTCCAGGGTCCGTGATATCAGCAGGACTGGAGGGAACGCATAAAAGAGGATTTTTGGCCATGGGCTGTGAGCGAAGGCGTCCACTCTTAATGGTGGGTCGTCTCGTGGGCCGCACCGGCTCCAAATCTGAGAGATCAGCTCGGGATGGAGGCTCCAGTCTCTGTGGCGGGGACTGCCCCTTGACATTATGTCCGCTCCCCTGTTCAGGACGCCGGGAATGCACACTGCTCTGATGGAGAGCAGGTTTTTGTGTGCCCAACACAGCAGCTGTCTCGCGATGCGTAACAGTTGGGATGAACGCACGCCTCCCTGACGGTTTATGTAAACTGCCATCACTTTGTTGTCTGTGTGGATCAGAACATACTAATCCCGCAGCAGGGGAGCAAAATGCTGAGTCACGTTTCAGACCGTGAAACACTCTAGCACATTTATGTGAAGCAACATGTGGTCCAGCCACTGTGCTCTCACTGCCTGGGATAGACACATTCCTCCCAGCTTGACAGTAACGGGTCTGTGAAAACTGAGACTTGTGACATAGGCCTGCTCATGGGAACTCCCTCTGACAGAATGAGGCGGTTTCCCCAGTGATTCAGATCGGTTCTCACGGAGGGGGGCACAGAGATAATCCGCCTCTTCTGGTGCACAGGATCTATGCGCAGGTGGGCAAACCATCTCTGATGGCATCTCACGTGAAGCAGGCCCAGCGGAACCAGGACGTGGGCCGCTGACATCATCCCCAGGAGTCGCATGACAAGCAGAACTGTCACTATGCTGCAGGGTGTGACATGGCGGAGCTGAGCTGACAGAGCTTCGGCTCTCAGCTGTGATAAACAGGCTCTCATTGTGGTTGAGTTTAGTTCCACTCCCAGATAAACAATCATCTGGGATGGGCGAATGGAACTTTTTCCCAGTTTATAGAAACCCCAGGTTTAGCAGGTGTAACACTAGCGTTTTGGTCTGTGCGACTGCTTCCTATCTGGACCGAGCTAATAAAAGCAGATCGTCCAGATAAAAAAGAATTCTCATTCCTACCATGTGTAACGACTGCAGAGCCGTCTCCACGCATTTTGAGAATGTACGTGGGGCGAGGGAATAACCGAACAGTAGCCTTTTGTACTGATACGAAATCCCCTGGAGGAGAAACATAGGAATTTCCTGTGTTTTGGGATGATGGAAATGTGAAAATATGCGCCCTTCAGATCTATGTGCAGTCGTTCTGGTGAGGTTCTCCAGCAGCTGTTTGATTGTCAGCTTGTGGGATTGTCTCTCCATGATCGATTTGTTGAACATGGACAGGTCGAGAATGGGTCTCATCCCTCCGTTTTTTTCCGGAACCAGGAAGTAGTGGGAGGAAAAACCCCATATTTTCCTCTCCATTGGGAACTCTGGAAATCACGTTTTTCATCAGGAATTCCTGAACTTCTGACTAGAGAGACGAGCTCTGTTCTAGAGAAGACAGAACCGTCTCTATAATCCCTCTGAACAGTGGGGGTTGAGCTGCGAACTGCAGCGTGTAACCCCTGCTGATCAGACAGTCCATCCATCTGTCCATGGAACACACTCGCTTTCACTCTGAGTAACGCTCGGAGAGTGTGCACGCATTTTCTGTTATGTCATGTTTCTCATGGACGTCAACCAGACTAAAAACCCTTACTGCCATCACCCGCTCCAGAGATTCTCTGGGAGGAACCCAAGGGGGGCTCTGACAGAAAAGGGCTGTATGTGTGCCTCTGTGTTGAGCCCAGGCTGCGGTCTCACGTTAGAGCTGAGGTGAGCTGGCGCGCACTGAGAGGAGGCGTGAGTGCTTTCTGAGTGAGACGCCGGTTTGGTGGAGGCTGCAGCTTTCAAGGAGAAACATGTTTACTCCCGCTGCGCGGTGAGTGGGCAGAAACAGCAGAAAATAAAAATGGGCTCTGGCTGAGAACGAGGGATTTTAACAGACTTGGTCTGCTGAAAAAACATCATTTTTAGCTGATGTGGCAGACGAGTGTTTTGTGATATTTACAGAACTGCGATGCCTTTTAAAACGCTGTTTAGAGGTTACCGGCTCGTTCTGTGTGGGGAGTGTGTGAAGAGAAGCAGCTGTGAGATCAGTTGATCTGACAGTCAGGCTGGAATCAGATGAAACTTAACTTTCAGAGACGTTTCTGTTTTATTTCAAAACATACATCATCAAAAAACACACATTCTCCTTGAGCTGTTCCCTGGTGGAGAGGGCTGGTGGAGGAGCGGAGCGTGAAGTCGCTGCCACAGCTGTGGAGCGCCTCTGCTGCTGTCGCTGGCCAAGGCGGTCCCTCCAGCAGCCGGAAGGGCAGGAGGAGGACTGTGACATCACCAGATGGTGTACCATCTCGGAGACCTCCTTGGACCTCTGCGATTTCTCAAGGATGATCCTAAAGTTGGCCCCAAACAGCGCTTCTGGGGTGATGGGGTCCTCCAGCAGGTCTCTCTGCAGCATCTCGGACAAGGATGGCGAGAGGCAGAGCCAGGTGGTCCTCTGGATCATGGTCATCCAGGCGGCAATGCGAGACAGGCAGACCGCAGAAGTGGTGCACATCTTTAAGATGATGTCAGCGGCTTTACAGAGAGCTCTTTGTCTCCTCCAGCAGGTCTGCTTCCTCCCGCCTCTTTGAGCAGCTGTAGGCCAGCAGGTTGACGTTGTTGTTTGCCGCAGCCGCCTGGAATGAGCACTGGTGACCTCGGTTGGAGAGCTTTGTCACCATCTGGTCATGTTTCCCTGGAGGGACAGGTTGCTGGTCCGTCTTGGAAGCTTTTGCCCCAAGCGCCTCCGCCAGGCTTGGCTCCGGTGGGGAGAACCGAGGGAAAAACTCAGATTGGTAAAACCCTCCACTCCGGTGATGGAGGTAAAGGTGGAGACGGGTGTCTTCAGCTTGCCGGGCCCAGCTGCAGCCTTGTTCCAGTGTGACATCACAGCTGGACAACGGAGCCAGATGGGGTCAGGGCAACGAGCCGGGGCTGAGCCAAACCTTCCCAGCAGATCATTCGATCGGGACGGAGGGAGGCGAGGGACAAAAAGTCCTTTTGTGTCAGCAGCCTCCTGGATTATGTCGGGCAGCTCCGAGAGGAGGGCGCCGACGGCTGGGAGCGGTGTGGTCGCCGATGTGGGAAGACCCGAGGTGGCTGAGTATTCGCTCAACCGCTCTTCTTCCGTCACTATGTTCTCTTTAGGAGGGAGGGCGCAGCAAGGCTGTTGCTAGCATCGCCTTTCACAGAGGAATCATTCGATTCACTGCGCTACTCTGCGTCAAAGAAAGGAGGTGGCGTCGTCCCGCGCAGAGCTGCTGCCCACATAGCCTTTTTCAAGGGAATCATCCGATTTACCGCGAGGAAAACACGTTAGAAAAGGCGATGACATCGTCCAGTGAGTAGCGGCCCGCAACGGAAAAATATTCAGCGGAGCTGCTGCCCTCATTGCCTTTTTCGAGGGAATCATCCGATTCACTGTGCGGAAAACACGTTAAAAAAGGCGACGGCGTTGTCCAGCGAGTAGCGGCCCACCACAGAAAAACACTCTTCGGCACTTACCTTGAACAAGGCTGCTCGTCTCTGCTTCTCCTCGGGGAAGGGGGGGGGGAGCTCGCAGGAGGTCGGCGTGGCGGAGACCCAGGCACCCTTCGCAAAAGTTGTGTCGGTCAAAGCTGGACATCTTTTCCTTCTTCGTTCTTCTGACAGTGCAAGCTAGCTGGCTGAACAAAAAATGGGAGCCGATTGCCCTGTCTCACCGTAATTTATACAGACCGGGGTGGGGCCCACATAGCCGGTGGGCGCGGACTAAAGTTTTCAGTGCTGCGCGCAAAGGGATAAACCCACTAGCAATAGCCTTAAAGGGCTGCGCCTATACTCATAGAATCTGGGGTTACAGTACGTAACCAACGTTTCCAAGTGAGAAAACATAACGTCAGTCTCTATATACGAAATAGAACAGAGCAAATGTAGGATGTTGTAGAGACTTACCTGATGCTGAGCTCCTTCATCCTCCTCGATGACTCAGACATGTTTACGTTTCATCATCTTTGTTTCTCCCGTGTCATGTCGTCATTTTTGCAAAGCTTGCATGTTACGCAGTTTTTAGCTGTGTGAAGCGTGAAGTGCTCCGACACTTTGGAGGACTTGGATCAAACAGTTTTTTTCTGCGTTGGTCATTTGAAAAATGTATTTAATTTCCTTTGAAAACACCGTCTCTGCTCTGATTCCGCCTTCCCCCTCGCTCTGTTCAACTCGCACTGCAGAGGTTTTTATTTTCAAACTTTATTCACCTGCAGAGCATTGACAATGCTCTGCAGGTGAATAAAACGGCTCCGCAACGCCGTGAGAGACGCATAATAGCGCAACACAACGACTCAACAATATTCGTTGCCAACATTTTTAATAATGGATTTTTATTGATTTTATCAAGTCGTTGTTGCAGCCCTAATTGGAAGAACTGACTGCTGCTTTTGGACAAATGGCTCCTGGGAAGACTCCAGGTCTGGATGGTTTACCTGTGGACTTCTATAAACATTTTTGGACTCTGTTGGGAGAAAACTTGTGGGAGGTGCTTCAGGAGTGCTCATTAACAGGTTTCTTGCCATCGTCCTGCTGACAAGCTGTTCTTTCCCTACTTCCCCAAAAAGGAGACTTGACTTTGTTAAAGAACTGGAGACCCGTTTCCCTTCTTTCTTTTTTTTTTTTTTTCTGCATACCTCTCAATTGGAAGGATCAGCTGGCCTCTCAACAAAATCGATCAACTTCTCCCGACAGGAGTCAGGGTAAGGAGGACCCTCTTAACTTGACAGAAACAAATTGGATTCATGATGACAACTGGTTATTTTGCTGTTTGGGTTGGTAAAATCTTGGATTGTCTACAAATTTGTGTGGAGGTGTTGAAGCTTGACAGTGCTCGGACTGAATGTGGAGCTGTGACAGGGAATTGGAGCAGCTGTTATCAGGACTGTGATCTTCCTGGCAGCACTCATGAATGGTGGGAATAATCTTGGAGAAGCTGTGAGCTCGACTTTTGGAGTAAAGGATCGATTCGGCTGTTTTGGAGTTCCATCAGAGAATATGTACCAGCGAGACTTTAAAGGCAGAAACAACAATTCACAAGTTCTGCCTGACCCAAACTGTGGCCTTGACGCCGGACTTATCTCAACTCCTCCTGGAATGTTTTGAAAACAACAAAGATGCTTTGACTGTTTCCTCACCCCTCCCTTCCCCAAGGCCGTGGACATGT